ATTCAGGCAATTATAAAATTGAACTAGCCTCATGTATAGCCATGCAATGCAAACTGTAGCTATATACGCGTATATAACATGCCTGACTGGTGTTATGGGCTATATCCCCCCAGTAGGTAAATATATAATCTACAGGCCTCACTGGTGTTATGGGCTATCTCCCCCCCAGTATATAATCAATAGGCCTCGCTAGCGTTATGGGCTATCTCCCCCAAACATATAATCAATAGGTCTCACTGGTATTATGGGATATATTCCCCCAGCATAATCAGTGTAAGCATGTATGAGTCATAACACATATGGCAACATCATATGGACTCAAGAGATCATGAAGGAAACCATAAACGGAATCACAAACGTAATATAACGCTCGTCGTCCATAAGTTAGATGGAAGAGCCTATCCCCATTTTAGGGAGAAAATGAGTATGCACATGAGATACTAAATCTAATTAACTCATAAGGATCCCTCTATAGTAAATTTAGAACCAAGGAACTCAAGATTTGTCCAACTCTTCGAATTTCGACAGAGTTTCCCCTAAAACTAGATGATCCTAATAAACAACAGCAAGCACCATAATATACACGATAATGGATACCCATCCAAGATGATAACATCATACTAAAGGAGATCCAATTATCCACAATAGTGTCAAACGATCGACAAAACAAAATTGTGAATGTAATGTCGACTCATAGTGGCTAACTTGTGACGTGAAAGTCTGATTATGATTTAGGAACAATCTAAGTATAAACACATGACAATTATTCTTATATAAAATTAAATGAAGCTATTAGAATCATATGGTGTTAGGTATACATAGGAACATCAAAGGAACGGAACAAACGGAAGTCCGGATGGCATAGGCCAAATTGGCGATTTGCCCTTTTGTTTTTGTTGGGTTTTGAAGTTCCAACCTAAACTAGTTTATTCCAGAATTCACATATGTGATTGAATAATACACAAGTATACAATACATGCTGATATTTCCCTTGAATAACTCTTAAAATATCAAGAAGAAAGGCTAGAACATAGCTAAACCAAATCTTGCCGAAAATGAAATGAAAACCCTACATACCTCTTGTGTTTTTGCTTCCAAACCTTGTTCGCTTTGATCCACACCCTTACTTATGCTTTATAACTAAAATACAGAGGTTACAAGGTTACTTAGCCATGAATCGCTTTCCAAAACAAGAGTTATAAGTAGAAAGGAGGACGACAAAGTCTTACCTATGTCGTAAGGATCGCGTTGATGTGTTCGCGTCTTGATTTTGAGTTGCAGATCATGGAATAACTTCAAAACCCTAAGGATGTATTTAGGATGTATAGAGAGACTTTTTAGGTCTGATTTGGGTCAAAATGAGCCTTAGAGACGAAGGCTACAACTTTACATATAAAGATAATCCTCAACTGACCTTGTGGGTAGCAAAGGGAGCTGCTTGTGCAGTCTCGTAAAAATGCGAATATCTCTCCACTCTGACGTCGTATCGACAAATGGTTTAATGCATTGGAAACTAGACTCATACATATTTAATTTAGTGGGTATATCACCCTGCAATTCAGGTTAAATTGAGAGCAAATCTCAATAACATTAGACCTAAAGTTTAAGTAAAATTATGAACGTAACTTGCTACAACTTTTGTCGACTTTTGCTTCCTAACTCGTTTGAATTCAAAACCTAACACACGACTAAAATACCTCATAATATCACCTCCATAACATGTTAATCACCCTAGTATCATCCCAAAAGTACGAGTTATAACATTCCCAACTTGCCGTTTCGAGGAAATATTTTTTTTTCGTTTTATTTAGCTTCTAAACCTTCCAACCCTTTTGGTACTTGCAGTTCATGATCTTAAATATTTGTAACCTCCAAGGTTATTAACTTACTTTATGTACTTTTAAAGATGATCTAATTTTTGAGCATACATCAACTGGCTTACGACGTACTTATATATATGAAAACATGGGGTGTAACATATATAGCCTGCCTTATCTCGTCGCATGTGCAATATCAACAACAACAATAGCATGGCAAAGACCTCGTGCAAACACCCGAACAATCTGCCCAACAAGTTTGCATGTGCCATAATCATAACAGCTCAATATCTCAATAATTGTCATCAAGATATAAACTCATAATTTATCAACATAGTGCACAAGGACAAACTAATAAAGGAGATGCAGATGGATGCTCAACATAATAACATGAATTCAGCTAACTCAATTTATCAACAATTTCACAAACGGCCAACTTGGCCAATTTAGGAAAATCAAATTCTAAAGCATGATCTCTAGCATGGAACATGAATTCAAATAATCATCCCAAGTAAATACATGTATAGCAGAGACCTCACAGTCAAAACAAAGCGATAATAGCAACCTCGAGTCAAATCCGGTCAAAAAGAACATATACAACTGCGTACACATTCGTCACTTCGTGTACACGTTGTTTACACATAACATATTTAAGCAATTAAGATAAATCCTAAGGAGTAATTTTTTCACATAAAATTAGGCAAGATACTTATCTTAAATTGCCAAATACACTCAAAAAATTGCTTTCCTTAAAAATTCTCCTCCGCTTGGATAAAATCTAAATCGACTTAATAACATCAAACAATGCAAGAGAAACCAATTTCAATTGCTAAAGTTAAGATCTTTACACAATTTCTCAAAAGTAAGAAAGAGTCAACCTCGGGCTTGCCCAGTCAAAACCTAAGGTGAAGGGTAGATCTTGACTACCCATAGCCCCACGAGTCCAAATATGTATTTGATTTTTAAATCCGAGTCCAATTCGACTATCAAATCTTAAATTTTTATTTTATCAAAATATAGTTAAAAATTCCCAAACTTTCTCTTCAAATCTCATGATTTAGATGTTAAATCTCATAATAATGTTATATAATCAAAATTGAGTTAAAATTACTTACACAATGGCTTTATATAAAACTCCCTTCTAAAATCGCCTCTCACTGAGTCTAGGGCTCAAATTGTGATAAATGAAACTAAGTCCCGAAATTCCAGCTATATAATCAACTGTAGATGTCGTACTTGCGACAGAGGGTTCGCAAATGCGACTAGAGGATCGCAAAAGCAAGCTCCGCACAGCTCCAAGAAATGTCTCAAAAGCGACCAAGAGCTTCGAAAATACGAAGTCCACTTTTCCCACCCACCATCGCAAATGCGATGATCCCTTTGCAAAAGCGAGGTTCCAGCTGCCCATTCGGCTATCGCAAATGCAACAAAACGACTCGCATTTGTGAGTGTCGTCCATGTAGTCCCGCTTCGCAAATGCGGTCAAACATTCGCAATGAGGGCATCGCAAATGCGAGCAGACCTCTACAAATGCAAGGTTTGCAGCACCAACAACCTGAATAAATGATCAAATCTCCCCGAAATACGTTTGAAACTCACCCGAGCCCCCGGGGATCCACACTAAACATCAGCACAGGTACGTAAACATCATACGAACTCACGCACGTACTCGAATCATCAAAATAACATATAAAACAACAAATCGAACACTAAAATGCATAAAAATCGCCATGAAAGTCAAAAACTTCTAAAAACACATTCAAACGTTTGATTCCTATCAAACCAAATCGGAATAACGTCAAACTTTGCAGACAAATTACAAATGAAAAACGAACCTATTCTAAGTTCTGAAACTGATAGTCACAAAGTCAACCCATGGTCAAACTTAAAAAATTTCTAAACCTTCAAATTGCCAACTTTGGCTAAAAAGAGCCAATCAACCTAGGAACCTCCGAATCCAATTTCGAGCATATGCCTTAGTGCAAAATCACCATACGAACCTATTGGAACCATCCAAACACCAATCCAGGGTCGTTCTCATAAAAGTCAAACCTCAGTCAACATTTCCAACTTAAAGCTTTCAAATTAAGAATTTCTCATCCAAATAAATCCTGAACCTCTCGAACACCGAAACCAACCATACACGCAAGTCGTGATACATCATATGAAGCTACTCAAGATGTCAAATCACCGAACGTAATGCTAAAGCTCAAAACGACCGACCGAGTCATTACAAAGGCAAAAATCAAAATCCATTTTTTTCTTTATATATTATATTTTTAATCCCTTTGACATAACTCAAAAGCATAGCTCAGTGGTTAAGAGAGTTCAAAAATTGTGCAAGGTCACTAGTTCAATTCCCACTTGCCAAAATCTCTTTTAATTTTTTTTTAACTTTTTTCTCTTTTAAACTCCGTAAGCAGAAATCCTGCCTCCGCCACTGACTAGATGAGGTAGCTGATATTTTATAGAAGAATCGAATTACTTACAAACTGGTTGGAACATTACGACTATCAAAAGAAGATTAGGAAAGTAAATTATACTAATGGTGTTAGTTAGGAATGGAAAAGGGGCGGTGTTCTATGATATTTTTGAGTATTAAATATTTACTCCATATGTTAATTAAAACAAATGACATGATCAATAAAGTCAGAGTAATTATAGACAAATTAATCATGTAACTCATTTTCTCCCATTTGGTATAACATATACACATCAACATCAATTTAAGCCTTAAGATAATCAAATATCATTAAAATTATCCTACCCTCCTTCTCACTCTTTTCTTCAGTCTTGAAAAGGTCAACAATAGTATCCCACGTACCCTTGTTTAATTAATTAGCCCCTTTTGTAGATATTAATATACTATTTCTCCAGCCGCCCATCCAACCCAATTCAATCTATATATAAATATGCACAGAAACAAACCTAGAGATAAGAAACTAACCCTTCAGAAATAGAGATTGACAATCAAAAACAACAGAAAGGTAGCTAGCTAAATTTGGATATATGGAGAAACCATGCAAGTCAAAGAAGAAAACAATCTTCAAGTTGTTACCAAAAGCAGCTGCAGCTGCTGTTTTTATATTACAAAATGCACATGCACCTTTTAGTCCAAGTAGAGAACAGAGATTAGCCACAGATCATCATCATAAAAATCATCATTATAAAGGATATGCTGGTCCCATCATATCAGTAATCCCAGCAGATCAATCCGGAAGAAATAAATCAGAACCAAGTTCACCAAAAGTTTCATGCATTGGCCAAATCAAACGCAACAAGAAGAAGATGTTGAATTGCAGCAGCAGTAAAAATCTGCAAAAATATCATGTTAAGAAGAAATCAGTGTCCAGTTTTGGAAATATATTTGCTGGTAAATCATCAAAATTACTTCCAGGGAGGAAATCTGATGTTTCAGCTGATAATATTATTGCTAAGCTTCCTGATAGAGCACCTTGTTTGAGTCAAATGAAAAGGTTTGCTAGTGGAAGGGAACCTTTGACCAACTTTGACTGGAGATCAACACAAATTACACCAGAAGATCATGATCTTAAGTATTATACAGATGATGAAGACAGAGGATACAGTGAGGATGAAGAAGATGAATTAAACACTGGTTTTTCTGCTCCAATAATATTAGGTAGATGCAGAACAAATATTACTTTGGAGCCAAGGAAAGAAATTAATATATGGAAAAGGAGAACCATGAATCAACCTAGGCCTCTTCAATTGAATACCGTTGTTGGCTAAGTGTTTTATTTTTTTACCTTCCATTTCTTTAATTCTCTTAGTTCATTTGTTCTTGATTCATTTCAGTGTAATAGTTTATAATAATGCTCAAAGTGAAAATTCAGTATTTTTCAAGTAGAGTTGAAGTTATCTATACTGTATATAGCTTAAACTATTTTCGAGTCTATGTATCAGCTTCTCCGATCCTATGGAAAGGGGTGTTCTGGAGCACCAATAAAGTTGGTCTTCGTGTGAAATATAGATTATGAGTTCGAGTTGTGAAAGCAGTCACTAATACTTGTATTAGAATATGTTGTTTACATCATACCCTTGGGGTGCTATCCTTACCCCGACCATGCATGAACACGAAATACTTGTACAGCGAGCTGCTTTTTATCAGCTTCTCCGATGATTTTAGGGTTCTGGGCTGAATTCTTGATTAAACAAGGAACAAAAGCCAAGCCATGATCCGACCAAGGAAGAATCAAAGAATATATAAAAGAAGCTATGCTTGCATGAGCCGAGAGTCTATTGGAAACAGTTTCTACCTTTACAAAAGTAGGCTGCGTACATATTACCCTTCTCAGACCCCGATTATTATGAGTATGTTGCTGTTTTAAATAAAAGAAGCTATTTAATTTATTTGTTTCCAGTCCACACGCAATTTATGGATGTTCTTTTTTTTCTATTATTATCATCTTTTTATATGGATGTTCACGTTCACCTACAATTTTGTTAGGTGGTAGCTACTAATTAATTACGCACGCAGTTGTTGTTCGATGTGGGGGGCTCGGCAAACCAGCAGCCATAATTGAGCGTTTAATTCCAAATATTTCTTACTCCCTCGTCTTAATTATGACAATATTTCCATTTTAGCCATTTAAAAAAAATATGACATCTTATTTTATTTGGTAATAATTTAAATTTAAATTTTATCTTTTATCCTTAATGAAATAATTTATATCTAAATAAATATCTATGATTTGATTTAGACTAAAAGGTTGCAAATTTTTTTTTTCTTTTTTAAACTCGGCGCCCAATCAAACATTATCACGGAATGAATGAATCCGTATATTATGTATAGATCACTAGTTTCAAAGTTAAAGAAGATTTTTCAATCAGAGAAATTAAAATCCATATATTGTCATAACATATGATTTTTGTCGTGAACAGTGTTAGTTCAATTAATCCACCGACGTGATTATTGAGCTTAGTTTAAGCGGTGCGATACAGAGACAAAAATATTCAGCCATGAATGGTACAATTATATGTAATGAAATCTTCTTGGGAAGTTCCTCGAAAGAAATGAGTTTGCTCTCACGTTTTTAAGAAACTTTTATTCTATTGACACCTTTTTCATGCGAGTTATTGCTATTTGTTTTTTGGTTAATCAGAAAGGATAATTAGGTAGAAGAAAAACTATAATCTTGACAAATTACAAATGCAACTGAAACTAGAGTTAGCCTGTCAAAAATAAGAATGAACGAAGCATACATGTTAAAAATAGTTTGGTTTACATATACAACTCACTTTGTTGTAAAGTAGAACGAGCCCATAACCTTCAAAATTTAGAATTCCACTTTGTAATTGCAGTATACTTTACTAGCTTCTTGCTTGAGAAGTATTTGACGGATATTTTCTCTCTCTATATATATATATATAACAAAACTACGAACTAATCTGAAGTTTCCTTTCTCAAAAATGATATGACTGATTGTTTTGCTTACCTGATTAATGGGCATGAGCTTCTTCTTTTAGGTGAAGGGAATTGGAAAATAATTGAGCTGGACTATCGGTTTGAACTGGCATACAGCGTTTCGCAGGCCTTAAAATCCATTTTACTAACGGGCCAATATTTTTTAACAAAGTTCATTTGTAGCCACTAAGGCCAAACTTATATCACCTGATAGTCACAAAATAACCTCATACAAGTCATAGCCTAAAAATAATAATAAAGGCTAGCAACTGAAAAACCTGAAATCATACGTTCAACGCAAACCAAAAGGAAATCACTCCTAAACGATTTTGTATCCTAAATCCACGCCTCAAGTATGGAATCTTCAACCCCCAAGCAGTATAAAAGTCGCCCAATTATTCACATTGTCAAAAAAAATTCTAGGATTTCTGAAGAGTAAACCCAGAGCAGAGCTCCAAAAAATTCACGCTGAAATTCAAAGCTTTTGCACAATTGCGGCTTACAATCACCTTAATAGAGTTGAGATTTCGTTCTTAAATTGTGAAATTGATACAAAATCGACAAACTCAACTAATGTCTATGAAGATTGTGAATGTTGGAACTATTGTAACAATTTTGTTTTCGATTTTACTTCTACATAGTGGTGAGTGGGTAAGTGAAAGTAAATTTGTTAATTTCCTTGTTAATGGTGTGCTGATCAATTCGGACTGTAGCTCTGGGTATTTTGTTGATGAGATATACAAGCAATTGGGTAGATATTCAATTACAAGTGCGATGTAGATAAAATATACAGTGAAGGATGGCTATATAGCAATTCTAATATACAATAATATGAGTGTGCGCTTGTATATGGAGATGAAAAAGAAAAACTTAGATATCATTGAATATCCATTATGCATAACGTTGAAAACTATGTGTTCAAGTGTTGAATGCTCATATTCAAGTTCATACTTGGGTGATAACTTACTCGCAACAACTTCAGCTGGTTTACAATGTCAGAACGTAGAAGAAGTACACAGAACTAATATTGTTGAGATGATGGATAATCATGGAAAAGAAGACAAAAATGAGATAATGAAGGAAAATTGTATAATAGACAATTCACAACATGAAGAAATTACAGAAGGTCAGTTGTATTGGGACAAAGATACACTCATTAGTGTAATAAAGCACGACGCAATACGAGAAAAATGTCAATTTATAGTAGATAGATCATCTACAACAAGGTACGATTTCTACGTATGAGATTTCACTTCTCTGTAATTTTGTGTATATTTCTTGTACAGAAAAAGTATAATTATTGTATAATGAGATTGCATATGTATACTGTTTGTTTATTTGAGATACAAGTGTAAAAATCTGAAGAAGTGCATTATCATAACATTATATTTTAAATAGGTATTGTCTTACATGCGTCGATGAAAGTTGCAAATGGAGTCTTAGATCTTCAAGTCTACACAAATCAAATGTCTTCAAGGTTAGACGGTTCAATGATGTTCACACTTCCCCCAAAGACGAGTAGACTATTTTCACAATGTCATGCTAGTTCGTCAGCCATTGCAAAAATAATTTGCAACAAATATGCCAATCCAAAAATAATATACACTCCGGCAGACATCATGAGCGACACGAAACAATAATATGGGATTAATATGAGTTACGTAAAAGCTTATAGAACAAAAATCAGAGGTCACTTGTATATGATAAATATAAAGTGTCGCTATATAAATCAGAGGTCACTGCTAAGAGGGATACCACGCGAATCTTATAGTAATTAAACTGCAGGTCACTTGTATATGATAAATATGACATATCGTGGTTCTGTCACAATATTACATAAATCAGAGGATGGGCGCTTCATGTATGTTTTTGTCTCACTAAATGCATCAATCATATGATGGAAATATTGCTACCATATTGTAGTGGTTGACGGCACATTCCTTAAATCATCACACATGGGGACAATGTTAACAGCTAGCGCACAAGATGCGGCAGGTGAATATGTCGCAGTCTCGTATAATAATTATATATGGTATAGATAGTTGTTATCCATGTATAACAAAAAAAACATGTGGATAATTTCTTATTTGCTTAACCAAGTAAAACATTTTCACTAGCATATGTTGTTGTCGATTATGAAAATGATGCTTCCTGGGAATGGTTTTTTGAAATGTTTAGATAGGCTTTTGGGAAAAGGGAAAGGATGTGCATCGTATCCGATCGTCATACAATCATATTGAGGGTTGCTTCGATTGTGTATCCATAGGTATCTCACTGTGTATGCATCTTCCATCTTTGGAATACATAAAGAATCAGTTCAAGAAGAACCATGACCGGCTGAGGGAAGTATATTTTGCAATGGCCAGGGCATACAAAATTAAAGATTTTAATCGCCTCATGCAAGATATGGACAGCATTGATAAGAGGGTAAGGGGTTACCTGTTCTAAATTGGTTATGAAAAGTAGTCCATAGCGCATTCCACTATTAATAGATCCATGGTGATGACTTCAAATATTGCTGAGTCACTTAATGCAAGAAATAGAGAGGCAAGAGAACTGCCAATCATGAGTTTGCTAGATTACATGATGAATTTGGTTATGGAATGGAATAATATAAATAGAATGACTGCAATGGATACATTTACTGTCCTAGGAAAAAAATATAACGAAGTACTGAAGGAAAATAGCAGTTTGTCGCAGAAGATGATGGTAAATATTCTTTGATCATGTCTTACTTCATACACCTGAATTACATACTTTGACAAAAATGCATTAATACTTGTGATATCCCTGTTTTACTAATGATATCTATTTAAATTTAAGTGAGGCCTTCAACCGATTATGTATATGTAGTAATGGATGATGAACAAAGGCGAAACATAGTCTGCATGCAAAAAAGGAAATGCTCGTGCAAACAATTTCAAGTGGATGAGATTCCTTGTCCACGTGCTATGGCAGTATTGGACTACACACACATAGAAGCACCCAAATATTGTTCTGCCAATTATACCAAGGAATACTTCAAGAAGACATATGAAGTGCCAGTTAATCCACTTCCAGATGAAAATACATGGGACCTTCCAACAGAGGTGTTAGATAATATGGTCCTACCACCGATAGTGAAGGGCATATCAGGAAGACCAACGAAGTCGCGACGCAAGGGACTTTATGAATATATGTATATTGAAACAGTTACATGTGGACTGTGTGGAAAATAAGGACACAACAGAAGAACATGCAGGAATGCTCGAGACAACTAGTAGATAACTGTTTTCCTTGTGAATGTTACTGTTAGAGTATTGGAAAAATAATAAGATTTGCAATC